TTGAGAACTTCTAGAGGGGTGTTGGGTGGGAGGATGGGCTAAATGGGTGATGGGCATTAAGGAGGGCACCTGTTGGGATGAGTAGTAGGTGTTATATGTAAGTGATGAATCACTGAATTCTCTTCCTGAAACTATTATTTCACTACATATTAACTACTTTGAATTTAAATAAAATTTTAAAAAATAATTAATTGAGGGGCATCTGGGTGGCTCAGTCAGTTAAGCATCCAACTTCGGCTCAGGTCATGATCTCACTGTCCGTGAGTTCGAGCCCCGCATTGGGGTCTGTGCTGACAGCTCAGAGCCTGGAGCCTGTTTCAGATTCTAAGTCTCCCTCTCTCTCTGCCCCTCCCCTATTCACGCTCTATCTCTCTCTGTCTCAAAAGTAAATAAACGTTAAAAAAAATTAAAAAATAAATAAATAAAAAATAATTAATTGAAATTTAAAAAAAAAAAAAAAAATCTTTGTTTGACTCCAAGATGGCTATTTCTACAAGCTATTCCTGCTCCATGGCCTTAACAGAGAGACAACTCAGCACCACCTCAACCTTAAACTTGTCTACCTTCCAAAACATACCTCTTCAATCCGGAAAAGCAGGAATCAAAAAGGAAATTTCTTTCCAAACTTAACTGTCTCTAGATTTTCCAGTTAGTAGGAATTTGAAAGATTCCTAACCTCTGGGCTTCCGTGGAGGGAGGCCAAATGTTTTTTCTAATAATCAGAGCATCCATAAGCCTGGAACAAAGCTTTGTATTCAGAATTAGGGTATGCAATAGTGAAATACAGAACACACACACACACACACACACACACACACACACACCTATACCATTACTGGCCAAATCAGCCTCTTCTGGGACAGAAAGAAGTCTCTACCTGCCTGAGATTCACAAGTAACTACTTCTATCAGAATTAAGAGATTTGGCAAAAAAGAAAAATCCTCCAAGCAAGAAAAAGGAAAGCCATTTCTAGAACTCTAAAAAGACCATATCCAAGAAAATGTGGCTGATAAATGATTATGATATCATATCACACGATATATGACTATAAAACGGGCAATAGCCAGAGGCTGAGTACAGGTGGTCTGACAAAAAAAAAAAAAAAAAAAAAGGCACAGTTACATGAGGGTTCCTGATAATAATGCCTCACCTTTCTTGGGAGCAGCTGTTCCAGTCCAGGTCAGTCCTGGGACAATCTGTTAAGTTTTAGCAGTGCTCCAACTGGTGTTAAGGGTTAGGTCCTGTGGGAGATTTGGGTCAGAACTCCAAGAACTACGCAGCCCCTTTCTGTCTCCCACCTGCCCACCACTAGAGTCCTGATTTCCACATTAGCCCTAGAGAGGGCTTCCTGTGGACCAGAGGGTGACTCGAGACTGGGCTGGACATCTCAGAATCACCATAACCACAGCACATCTCACATTCCCGAGACTGGAGTCAAAACATTCTCCTACGTAGAGTCTAATCCAGAATCAGAATATCTGATCCAATAGGGGTGCCTGGATGGCTCAGTCAGTTAAGCATTTGGCTCAGGTCATGATCTCACAGTTTGTGAGTTCGAGCCCCGCATCAGGCTCTTTGCCATCGGTTCAGAGCCTGGAGACTGCTCCGGATTCTGTGGCTCCCTCTCTCTCTGCTCTTGTCCTGCTCACACTCTCTGTCTCTCAAAAAGTGAATAAATGTTGGGGCGCCTGGGTGGCGCAGTCGGTTAAGCGTCCGACTTCAGCCAGGTCACGATCTCGCGGTCCGCAAGTTCGAGCCCCGCGTCGGGCTCTGGGCTGATGGCTCAGAACCTGGAGCCTGTTTCCGATTCTGTGTCTCCCTCTCTCTCTGCCCCTCCCCCGTTCATGCTTGGTCTCTCTCTGTCCCAAAAAAATAAATAAACGTTGAAAAAAAAAATTAAAAAAAAAAAAGATAAAAAATTAAAAAAAAAAAAAAGAAAGAAAAGAAAAGAATATCTGCTCCAATTGCCTTATTTCCCTGTGCAACTTGTAGTTTCAAGCACAAAAGAAAAAAAAAATAGGCAGGGGAGAAAATTCTGGCCAGTTTTATTAAAGTCATACTAAAACTGAAAGCAATCAGAAGAGTCAGAAATTTTGGCAAAAGTGCTCTGTTGGCACTTGGGAAAATTCATGTGAAGCCAAAGCCCGGAGTACAAGAGGGAGCCAAGGAATTGAGATCTCAGAAAAAGCAGGAAATATCGCCCAACAAAATTTCACCACGTACTGGTAAGTTTGTGTGAACTTGGTGCTGGAGGTAAACCAATAATTAATGGCTACGAAACCACCACTCGATCATTCAAACGGCCCAAGATCCTTAGAGCACAGGCATCTGGTTGAGAACGTGTCAGCAAATGGTTTTCATACCACTTGTAAATTCATAACTACAAATTTTGGAATTAAAGTATGTTCTTGACCATTCTACCTGGACAAGGAAGGAGTCACAGTTCTGTGGACTCATGGACCCTAGAAGAACGAGGCTAAATTGTCTTTTCTTTCTTTAAATTCTGTTACTCTGGCTCAGGTCAGTCTTTTGATATTTAAAAAGATTTATTCTCACATGCACAGTGTGATCCATATAATCATCAGACTAGTAAATTTTTAACTTTTTTGCCCTTTTCCATAGGATGTCTCAAACATTTTTTTTTAAATAAATATTCAATTTGGGAGCAGCAAACAGTGAAGAAACAAGTTTGTTTTGAGAAACACAGCCAACATTCTCAATAGCCATGCCCCATCCTTGCATACAATTGGATCTGACAGATGTACCCATCCCTTGAGTTAGAGATAAAGGACCACAACTGGCAGCTTCCAGTCTCTTAAATGTCCCAATTTGTAGTCACATAGCAATTGGCATGAAGTTAAATATCTGTGTCTGATGGCATAAGGTTTAGGTTATACACAGATGTGACTAAATTTCACCCAATCCAACTTCTCAGTTCTCTTAGGCCACATGTTCAGTGGGCCAAGGCCTATCTGTAGCGTAAGAATGCAGGCTGGGCAGCCGTTGTTCGAGAACTCCATATTTGAAGGGAATATTTACTCCATGCCATATTTACTGGCTGATCTCAGGGACGAGCTCAAAGTCAGAACCCCTTCAAAGTTCTGCCAAACACACATCAGCACAGTGTGTGCTCAAGTGGCCTTGTTCATCTTCAGTTTGGAGTTCTTAACACTGTCAATCACTCCTTTACCTGCATAGACTCGTTTGGAGGCCACCCTCACACTTGAGGGTTTTTTTCTGGAAGAAAAACGTAAGTTTTCAAGTTGCCCTTTTATTATCCCATATGCCAGATGTTTCCAGTAGAACAATGAAAATAAAATTATATAAATCACATGCAGTCACAGGTGCCTTCAAATGCTCCCGCACAACACTCAACACAAAGAATCCAGCTTTCGTGCTGCTAGCATAACCTCAACCAACTAAACTATCTCTCTTACTTAAAACTACCTCTAAACTCTTCAGGCTGTTCACCAGTATTTGGCCCCCTCCTTCCTGGCACATGGTAGGATTATACTTCTGACCCTGTTGAACCTAGCAAGGGTATGTGATTTGCTTTGGTCAACAAATGCGAGCAGAAATGTCACCTTGAGAAGGAAGTTTTAGGAGCCGATGCCACTTGACCACATTAATTTCTTCCTCTGCCAAGGTGATCATCAATGTTCTCAATGTGGCTGCTCCACCAGTCTAGCTCCCTGAATGAGCATGACAAAAATATGCAAAATAGATAACAATGCGAGCAAGCAATACACGTGTTACTTTAAATAATTGAGGTTTGGGAGTTGTTTGTTATGGCAACACAGCCTAGGAAAAAACTATCAGGATCCTGAACACTATGGTGAATGTTACTATAATCCAAAACAAGAAATTTGCAGCTATATCTGTTACACTGTAGCATATATATGTGTATGTAAAATTATATATATATACACACACACTATAATGCTACATATTCTATATGATATATTATTACATTATATATATTATAGTTAGCCACCAATTAAAGTAGACTTCTCTCCCATCTCCTCCATAAAATAACAAAAAAACCTCCCCAAATCAATTGGATGATCTAAATTGCTTGAAAATAAGTGCTCACGAATCTCAAAGAAACCAATTCCCCCATAAAAACAAGTACTTGATCCATTTGTCAAAATCATTTGCAGAGTTCCATGTCTTCTCTAAGACCAAGTACATTAATCAAACACAGGGCTTCAAAGGGGCTTCATTCTGAGCAACCCGACAGACAAATAAATTAGCTGCCAATGGCTCCTTTATAATGGAAGAGAGCCAAGCTGACCCAAGGGGAAAGGAGTAAATCACAGAGGGAACCTTCCAAGCAAAAGCAGCATTTGGGGACCCGAAGCAAACCAATAAAGCCTTCCCATATACTCTTGTTTCCAAGAGTGTGAGCCAAGCACATGTGTGTTTATTCTCTAATAAGAAGATGCAAACGTCTCACATCTGGTTGATTTCTTAGGTGCTACAACCATAAAGATGTCTGTGTCTGGAATACCCGCTGGAGCGTTGTGCTCAAATGTGGCAGCTCATAAACCTGATGGCACACATCATAGCTATGATCCATAAGAACGTTTCCCTCTGAAACAATGCACTTCTGGAAGGTTTTCTTCTCTGTCGCCGGGATGAAATGCTTGAGGTTTCTCCTGTAGGTACGTGAAGAACTGTCCATTTTTAATTTGCAGAGCTTTTCACTGGTGACTCAGTGAGGGATGATGTCATATGTTATCCCACAACGGCTGGTGTGGTTCTCTCTGCTCACTTAAACCATTCCCTCTGTTTCTGTGGCAGACAGCGCTCTCGAGTTTCCATCTTTCGTCAGCTTCTTCCCAGCCAGCCCCAGGCAAACAGCCTCCCCAGCAGCAGATGAAGCCGGAAGTCTGACAGCTTGAGTCTGCAGTGGGACCCCTAGTGTTTTCCCCGCTCCATGCCCTGGCCGCGTTCCCCGCAAGTACAAACACACACACACAGAGCTCCCATTGTTGCAGCCTTCCCCAGCCCACTGAGCCTAATATGGAATGCAGCAGGAAACCCATGATTTCCTGATACTCCGCAAGCTGGAGGAAGCAAGGGGAAAACTCCATTAAAAAGCCCAGCTTTCCTCCATGTTAGATGTAAAGTGGAAAAGGGGGGGGGGGGTTGATTAGCAGAACTGAAGCCGTCTGGAAGAGCACAGCGAAACCCTCGGGCTGTTGAAATTTCTAGACTGCCAGGAAGCCCCTAGAATTCAGAGAAAATGAGGGTTTCTTAACTCAAACTGTAGGGAAAGGGGACACGTGCTTTTAATCGTTCTCCCCAACGTGCGCCACCTTTCTTGGCCAGTATGGTAAGCACGAGGGCAGGTGCCAGCCGCCTGGGACAGGTCTGTGGAATCCAAGGCAACCTAAGGAAGGCAGCGTGATCTGGAGCCTGCCACTCGCTTCCCGCGCTCCATGGGCTCTGGGAGAGGCAGGAGAAGGAACAGCAGCTGCAGGGTCACAGCAGCTGGAGCCGCCAGGATGAACTGCGAGGAGGGAGATGACAGCGGCTGCGGCTGCAGGAGCACGGAGGAGAAGAAGATGTTGAAGTGCGTGGTGGTGGGCGACGGCGCCGTGGGGAAGACCTGCCTGCTCATGAGCTACGCCAACGACGCCTTCCCAGAGGAATATGTGCCCACTGTGTTCGACCACTATGCAGGTAAGAGGGGGGGGGGGGGGAGCCTGTCCCTGCACACGCGGGGAAGATGCGGGCGGCGACACCCCAACCGCAGAGGGGCCTGCTTGATTTCCAGGGGCACTGATGGGCGCGGGCCCGGCGGTGGCCCCACAGCGGGGCGGAACCCACGGCCGAGGGCTTTGCTCCAACCCTTAGGACACTTTGTGCATCCCTTCGTATCCAAAACTTTCCTCCCCACTTCAATCAAATGAGTAACACTGGGAAACTAACCCTGAACTACTCCTCCAGGCTTTGGGGCGGGAGATCTTACTCAACGTTGGCCTGAAGAGTTAATAACTTTTTATGTGAAAGTTCTAAAATGTAGTGCAATTGCAACACAACTTTTTCACCAGAAAGAAAGAAAGAAAGAAAGAAAGAGAGAAAGAAAGAAAGAGAGAAAGAAAGAAAGAGAGAAAGAAAGAAAGAAAAACGTAGGCTACTGTAAACTTGAAGAATTTCATGAACTTGCTTTTGAGAAACAAGATTTGTTTTGGAAATTAAGAGAAAAAGTAAGAAAATGGAAAAATTGAGATCAGTTAGCACACTGACAAGTACACCTACAAACTTTAGAACATTCAAAAAAAAAAACAAAACCGATGAAGTTGTGGCTACAGTATTTTAACTGTCATGCCTTAAAATGTTTTGTGTCCGATTTGATTGAAAAAAGAAAGTTACCACTAACCACGCAACTGGTGAGAGAGGTATTTTTGCCACTTTTCATATATTTACCTCATGCCATTTCATAAATGAAATGGTAAGATTAACAAACATTAGAACACTCATTTTTCTAATGAATTCATTTGGTGATGTACTATTGTACTTTTATGTTCCTAGGGTTATAGATGGGGGGAGTATTAAAAGATTTTAAATATCTATTAGGCAATCTGTATCTTGAATTAAAAGAAACATCTTTAATGAATATGTTTTTAAAGTAAAAATGAAGATAAAAATAAAATTTGAATCATTTTAAAGTATATCCAGAAAGGATCAAATCGGACACAAAATATTTGAAGGCATGACAATTAAAATACTGTAGCCACAACTTAACTGTTTGGTGTTTTTTTTTTTTTTTTTAATGTTCTAAAGTCTGTAGGTGTATTTGTCAATGTGATGACTGATCTCAATTTTTCTGTTTTCTTTTTCTCTTAATTTCCAAAACAAATCTTATTGTTTCTCAAAAGCAAGTTCATGAAATTCTTCAAGTTTACAGTAGCCTAATTTTACAACTTTTTTCAACAGAGTGATCAGGTTGGTGAGTTATCAAAGATTTGAGATTTCACAAGAGGAAAATTTCCCTTCCTTCACCTTGGCTTTGGGTCAGGTTCAGCAGGGGGGGAAGTGACACAGGAAACCTGTGTGAATGTTGGCTTTGCTATGTGGCCATTTGAAATCCTCTTTCTAGAGGAAGTAGCTTCTTTTCCACAGCTAAACAATCACCTAGGTCCCACCCTTCGCCTATATTTACATGATTTATGACAATACTACATAGCAGATAGAGAGAGAATCACAGTGAAAATAGTATCCACTTCCCAGAAGGTTTTTCTATATTTGTAAAAATTAAGAGCAAGTTTTCATGCTGATTCCCTTAAGTTTTTCTGAAAATATGACTATGCCAAGAGAAGAACACTTTAATGAGAACAGAATAAAGAGAACAGGAAAACTTTTATGCGGAGAAAAAAGAAACTAATAAAATTAAGAGGTCTGGGACTTAAGTAAGTTACTAAGACGTGAACTTCTTAGCAAAGGTTTTTTTATTCGACACCCTCTTTCTGCCAGGAAAGAAAAACTGGCTGGTACCTAATTTCAACAACTTTTAGATCAAAGGAAGGGCCCAAAATATACTAAAGGGAGAGGCTTAAGTGCTTTTGAAAATGATGCATCCTGATCCCCATCTATTGGTTGAACTAATTATCAGTCCAGTATAAGGAAGAGAGAAGACAAAACCAACTTTAGAGATAAAGTCAATTTATAAAAAAAATATTAGAGATCAAGCAAAGGCTGAACTACCACCAGTTTCCACTAGGACCAAGTTATTTTATGTTTCAATTGTGTACATACTTACTGTTATGTGAGCATCAAAGCATCTTTTTTTTTTTTTTTTTTAATTTACATCCAAGTTAGTTAGCATATAGTGCAACAATGATTTCAGGAGTAGATTCCAGTGACTCATCCCCTATGTATAACACCCAGTTGAACATCGAAGCATCTTAAAGATTTTGGCTACTCTATGATTTCACCTCTCAGGAAATCACGGTCACTTTACCCAAAGCCATACTTTGCACGTAGTAGACATTCCCAAACACTGTTACTTTGATTTACACTCTGTACCTTTCTAGGTACACAATCATCTCACAGGCTTTCAGTTAGGTTATAAAGGAAATGAAGACATGAGCCTCATACATCTAGGGTCACAATGAAGTGAACATTTCCATTCATAAAGAAATCTTCCCCATCATAAAGACACGCTCCTTTTACCACTGCCCTTCCCATATATGAGCTAATTGAATGTAAATCCTTACATGAAAACCTTCAGTCAATTGTCAAAGAACTAATGCTGTCTTCCCCATGTGGAAAAGCATCCAGTACCCTGTCCCTGGGTCCTACTGGCCCATTCTGAAAGGACAAGCAGCAACTGAATTACCGAGTCTTTAAAATACTGCAGTTCAAGGGACACCTGGGTGGCTTAGCTGGTTAAGCGTCCAACTCTTGATTTCGGCTCAGGTCACGATCTTAGGGTTGGTAACTTCGAGTCCCGTGTGCCAGTGCAGAGCCTGATTGGGATTCTTTCTCTCTCTCTCTCTCCCTGCCTCTCTGCCCCTTCCCTGTTCATGTGCGTTCTCTCTCTCTCCCTCTCTCCCTCTCTCTCTCTCTCTCTCTCTCTCTCTCTCTCTCAAAATAAATAAACTTAAAAAACAAAAAAAAAGTAAAGAGAAGAAAAACGCAGTTCAAGTTAAAGAGAGCCTGTCCCTTGAAGATTTTTCCATAACAGTGGCCCATCCCAGGAAAGTGGAGATATAACAAGAAGGGTATGAAGCATACCACTCAGGATGGCAGGCATTGAAGCCAGACAGCCCACTTCCAACATGGGCACTGCCATTGCCGTGCTGCCTTGAACAAGTTATTTAACCTTTCTGTGCCTTAATTATCACAAATGGACAAAAAAAGGACCATAAAGGCATTAGGAGTGTTGGTGAGGCAAAATAAATAATAACATGTGAAGTTCTTAGAACAGTGCCTCACACATGATAAGTGTTAGGTACCTAGCAGCTACTATTATTAAGAATAAGTTCTTGGGGTGCCTGGGTGGCTCAGTCGGTTGAGTGTCCAACTTCAGCTCAGGTCATGATCTCACAGTCTGTGAGTTCGAGCCCCACGTCGGGCTCTGTGCTGACAGCTCGGAGCCTGGAGCCTGCTTCGGATTCTGTGTCTCCCTCTCTCTCTGCCCCTCCCCTGCTCATGCTCTGTCTCTCTCTGTCTCAAAAATAAATAAAGTTATTAAAAAAAAAGAAGGAATAAGTTTTCTACACTTGCACACAGTTATGAAAGGAAATTAAAATGTAACTAAGAGGTAAAGACTCCAACAAAGAAAACTATAATTCTAGTGGTATTTGTCAAATGGAGTAGGGTGTGATAAATGCATGTGTTGTCTTATAATACAGTTATCACATGTATTGATAATTGACAAATATGCATGAAGTAATAGTAGCGGGATATTAAATTGGGAGGGGAAATCTCAGTTTTGCATGAGTCCTTATGAAAAAAGTTAACCAGATAGAAAAAAAATTTTTTTTTACGTTTTCTGAATCTTAGTTATTTTCCCTCCACCCAAATGTACGTCTCCTCCAGGCATCTTTCCTTGACTGCATAAGGAGAGCTCCTTGTTCCATCTTCAACCTATCTCCAGAAATGTGTTTACTTTGTAGAAGACGAACGACTTCAACCCTGCAGAGCAATTTGTCTGTTTCCTTGTGTTTCCCACTCCCACCGTGCTCTGAGCTCCTGAGAGAAAGGGTAGTGTCTTGCCAAATCCCACGGTCAGTTCTCAGTCATCATCTACTGGATGGCTTAGAGGCTTTTTTTATGGCTAATTACTATCTCTCTGCTTGGTTTCTGGGATAACAGGTTCTCCTGGCTTTTATTCCCCTCACCTGGCAAATCTCTGTCCATCTCCTCTGCCGCCTGCCCCATCTCCTCCCCACCCCCATTATATGTTGGCACACCTCAGTGTTCGGTCCCTCAGTTCCCTTCCCTATTTTGCTCATGCCTAAGTTGGTTGTATCTAGTCTCATAGCTTTGAATATTATTTATATAGCACCAACTCCCCAGTTTATATCTCTGGCTTTGAGACTCAGATTCATATATCCAGCTGCCCATTTGAATATATAATAACATCTAATTTCTCAAGCTGTTAAAAGAAAATTCTTTAACTCCTCCCATCTATTTCTCCCCTAGTCTTCCCCGTGCAAGTACACGACCACTACCTTCCACCCAGTTGCTTAGAACAAAAACTTTGGTATTACACTTGACTCCTTTCATCCTATGACAATACCCCCCACCCTCTCCATTCAAACCGTTTGTTATTACCCTGTTACTACTGTTATTACTTTGTTACTACTGCCAATCAGCGCAACATTCAAAATACATCTCAAGCGCCATCAGTTCTCGCCACCTACATTGCTTCACTCTTGTCCAACTCACCTCATTTCTCATCTAAGCTAGTGTGCTCACCTCTCACTTCCCTGCTTCCCAACTTGCCCTCCTCTCGTCGGTTCCCCACACAGCCGGAACAGGGGCTATCCATGGCCCAAATCCTCCAATCCCTTCACACTCAGACCCCATCAGTTATCATGGTCTACAAGGCACTCCATGACTTGGTCCCTGTTACCGCCATACTCTCCTCTTCAGTATTTCTGCTCTAGCCACACTAGCCATCTTGGCATCCCTCAAACACACCGATATCCCACTTTCCTTGAAGACCTCAC